TTGTCATTGTCCAGACGACCGCAAGGCATTCTTTCTCAGTCGTGGAGTAATTTTTTTCTGCCTTGGATAGTGTCCGACATGCGTAGGCAATGACTCGCTGGGTGCCTTGTTGTAGTCGAACCAGTACCACACCAAGTCCTGCGTTACTTGCGTCCATGTGAATCTAGTTTTCTGCATCCTGATCAAAATGTACAAGAACAGGAGGAGCCTGGAGTCGTGGTGTCAGCTCGTCGGATGCCTGCTGCTGCTCTTTGGCTCATTCGAACTTTCCGGCGTCTTTCGTGAGATTTGTGAGCGGTGCCGAAACCCTAGCGAAATCCCGAACGATGCGCCGATAGTACGCACATAGTCCCGGGAATCGTTGCACGGCCTTCTTGTCAGTCGGCGCTGGAAGTGCCGCGACGGCGCGAGTCTTCTCTGGGTCTGGGCGAACGCCATCATGGCTAACCACGTGTCCAAGGAGCATAAGTTCGTCATAGGCGAACCGACACTTCGATGGCTTAATGGTGAGCCCGGTGGTCTGAATGGCCTGGAGAACAGCTCGGAGTCGTCGCATGTGCTTGTCAAAGTAGGTCGAAAACACTATGACGTTGTCAAGGTAGACGAGACAGCTCTGCCATTTCAGCCCAGCCAGTACGGTGTGCATGAAACGCTGGAAAGTTTCTGGCGCCGTGCATGGTCAAAAAAGCATCACCTTGAACTCATACAGTGTGTCTGGCATGAAGAAAGCTGTCTTTCCTCGATCCCGTTCATCGACTTCAATCTGCCAGTAGCCGCTCCTCAGGTCCAACGATGAAAAATATCGAGAATAGCGCAGCCGGTCTAGTGTCTCGTGTATGCGGGAAAGTGGGTAGACGTCTTTCTTCGTTACCGCGTTCAGCTGTCGGTAGTTCACGGAAAACCTGAGCGTTCCGTCCTTCTTCTTAACCAGTACGACCGGAGAAGCCCATGGTCTGCTGGAAGGCTGGATTATGTTGTCGCTCAGCACTTCTTGCACTTGCTCCTGTATGACCTCCCTTTCCTTTACTGAGACTCGGCATAGCGATTGATGCACAGGGAGCGCGTCGTCCTCGGTAACAATGCGATGCTTCGCAAGGGTGGGTTGGCGCACCTTTGACGACGTCGCAAAGAGTCGCTGTATTCGGCAAAGAGGTCACTCAGTTGCTGTCATTTTAGGCCCGGAAGCTTGGGGTCAATGTCGAGCTGCGCTGGCGATGTAAAGACTTGCTGAGGCGGCGGTGATTCTTCAGCAATTGCGGCGATTTCTGCGGAGTTTCGGAGTTCCTCGACATGGCCCACAGCTGCCCATTTAGTGAAGTGTTGCGTTTCTTGCCGGAAATTCGTCACGAGGACTTCAGTGCGCCCATTCTGAAGTTCAGCTACTCCTCTTGCGATGCCTATTCCTCTTCCCAGGAGCAATTGAAGGTTACCCTCCAGACGAATTTCGCTGCGATAGCTGCATCGGTCACGACGGGTATTACAACACTTGATCTTGGCGGCAGATTCACGTGGTCGGTAGCGACTCGGACGGCGGCTGACGCAGTTTGGATTTTCTCTCAGGGCGGAACAGGTGTCCGCAGCGTCAATCTGTTTTCTTCAAGGTCAATGACGGTGCCGTATTCGCACACAATATCCATGCTTAGAATAACCTCTCTGGAAGAGTCTTGTAGAATGACGAATTTCACAGGGCACGTCAAGCCGTGAATTTCGACGCGAGCGGTGCAGCTTCCGACAGGTGCGATGAGGTGTCCTCCGGTGGTTTGTATCGTCCGTCCATCCCACGGCGTCGTGACTTTTCGAAGGTGTTGAGAGAGCCTATCACTTAATACTGAGTTGTCTGCTCCGGTGTCAATGAGTGCCGATGCGTCGTGGCCGTCGTTAAGAACGTTCAGGTTGTTGGACACCGTTGCAGGGGTGTCAGTGCGATGCGGGGCGTCGGGAAAGTGGGAGCGCTCCGGCGTTCCTGGAGGCTGTTCGCTTCCGTCGTTTTCGGCAACGTCACCTCTAGGCGTTGCCGCACTCAGTTTTCACGGCAACGCAGGGGAGACAGGCTCTCTCGGTGGGGTCGTGCCGCTGGGGAAGCTGAACGTCGTGGAGATGGGGAGCGGTCTTCACGGCAAAGAGCCGACACTGGGGAAGGCGAGCATTGGAGGTACTCCTTGACGTCGCGCGAGCGTTCGTCGTAGGTTGGGCGCGGGTCGTTCAGGTGGAACTCGCGCAGCCCCAGTTGTCTGTAGGGGCATCTACACCAAATGTGCCCGGCTTCACCGCAGTGATAGCACAAAGGGCGTCGATCGGCTCTCCTTCAAACGTCGGTTTTGCGTGGCGCTGCTTGTTCTGGGTGGGCGTGCTCCCGATCTTCCTGGCGTCGGGAAAACTGCGGCGCTGGAGGTTCACGTCGGGGTGGCGCCGTATACGGGTTAGTAGGGGACGGTGGTCGTCGGGTGGCTGTGGCGTAGCTGCGGCATAACTCAGCGTGGGTGGCTCGGGAGCGGCGCTGACAAGAACTTGTGGCTTCAGCACCTGCTGAACTTCTTCCCGGACAACCTCGGCGACGGAGACTGATGCCGGGCGCTCAGCAGTTGGCAGAAGCTTCTTAAGCTCCTCCTTTACGACTTCACGGATGAGGTCGCGAAAGCCGGGGATGCTGGGGCTGATATCGTAGCCCGATGCAGAAGCAGCAGCGTCACTTGAGTGCCGATGGTAGTGGCTTGCTCTCGATAAGAGGGCACGTTCTATGTTCGTGGCATCCGTGACGAAATCTTCGACGGTCGAAGGGGGGTTGCTAACAAGACCACCGAAGACGTCCTCCTTCACACCTCGCATCAGGATCCGCAGTTTTTTTTTCGTGGGTGGCTTGAGGGTCGGCGCAAGCGTCCACGCGCAGAAAATCCTCGACGAAACTGGTGATAGTTTCGTTTGTTCCCTGGGTCCTCACTCGAAGAATGTCCTCGGCCCTCTCCCGTCGCTATTGTTCGGTGAATGTTCGTCTCAGGCATCCTTGCAGGAGACCCAAGAGATAAGAAAGTCTCGCGAATCTCAAACCAGTGCCTGGTCGACCCTTGAAGCGCGAAGTCAAGATTCTGCAGGCGCTGTTCGTTCGTCCATCGGTTGCGCTGGGCAACTCGCTCGTAATGCTGTAGCCAGTCTTCGATGTCTTCATAAGGCTCACCCTGGAAGGCCGTGGGCGCACGGGCAGTGACGGGTACGACAACGACGGGTGGAGTGGTCATTATTGCGGTCTTTTTCCTTGGCTTCTGTGGCAGGGGCCTGAGTTCGGGGGTAGGTCTTGGTTGCGGCGACTTGATCGAGTGTCGGTTTTTTCTGCGGAGGATAGCCTTCCGGGGCTGAACACTTCACTTAGCCGGGATGTCTTTGTAGGTGTACGCTTCACGGGTATAAAATAGAATAGAATAGTTTATTTCAGGTTTCTTTCAAAATTCATTTGCGAGAACCGTCTCACTTAAGCACATGTGTGCTCTCTGTGTGAGAAAGGGCAGTCCAATTCTGTAAGTGCTTCCTCGCCCCAGACGTATTACTACAAAAAAAAGGGATACAACAAGAATAAAACCAAACTAAATTGAGAGAACCCGTGGTGTGTCGTATTGTTGCCTAATAATCATTAACACTTCGCGGATAGAACTTTGCGTCGTGCAATCATATCCGTTACATTCATCCCGCGTAAGAAGAAGAAACACCGCACGCAGAAGTAGCGAAAATCAAAAACTACAAGTAACGCTCAACACAATACATTTCTATCTCAGCGCAAAGAATCATGAAAAATATATAAATATGTGAAAAAGATACCTTAGACATTGCTTGTGAATCAGCCACAAACTAAGCCAATAATGAAACGCAAAAGCTACAAGGAAATATTTGAAAATAAATGTTAAACAGCAAAGTCGTTAAAAAAAAGCCAACACGAGCAGCGGCTGTGAATCAGTAATAAGGAAAGAAGCGACAAAATTGCTTGACATGAGTGACAAGGCGAGATCATAGATATAATATAAGGGCACACTTCCAAATTCAAATCGATCTGCTTTGACACCATTTCAATATCTCCTTTTTTACTGTACGTAACAACTGCATTTCATGTAAATTGCCAGGAAGTTGATTAAAGATATTTGGAACATAATAATTTTTTGATTGTGTTCCATAATTCGTATATACTCTGGGAATATCATATTTCTCCGCCCTCCTAAGCTGTTTTTGTATGGTTGAATTTGGCTTGTAATCAGTTGCGTTACCCCGCACCTTCATCAAAATGGGCTTCTGGAACAATCGGCGTAGACGGTTTGGCGTGTGGAACATTCTTTCCTCGAATCATCAACACAGTTGTTGAATTTACCAGAACATTAAGTTAGAATCAACAAAAATGCGTCTTCGCGGCCGGGAATCGAACGCTGGCTTTGCCCCACTTCCATCAAAACATCACGAATGAAGAGCGATGAGGTGATAATAACTAGAGAAACTAAGCGTTTAATGGGGGCAAACTTGCGCCCCGAAAAATTAAAAAAAAAGTAGCTGTAGAAAGCAGAGCGCCACAGGGCGTCGAAGTCGGCGTGACAACAGAGTCGAACGCTGGGGCGAAACTGACTCCGGCTTGCCCGCGTCAGTTTTGGGCTTCTGGAACAATCGGCGTAGAAGGTTCGGCGTGTCGAACATTCTACCCTCGAATCATCAACACGGCTTTCTAATTTACCAGAACAATACGTTAGAATCAACAAAAATGCGTCTTCGCAGCCGGGAATCGAACCCTGGCTTTCTGCGCGGATGGCACGCGCGATAACCGTTAGGCCACGAGAGCGCTTTTTTTTTTTTTTTTTTTTGCCAGCTTGGCGTTTTTATTTTAGTATTGGGTGCTATTTACATTTTAAAAGGTCAGGGCTTTTGACACAACTTACAACAATAATTATTTACATGACATTTGAAACGAACTGCAGCTCAACCGATCAGCGTGGCGGCAGCCCTCTAGGGGTTGCTTGCGGTCTGCAATGTCCTTACTTCACTAGAGATTGGAATCTCTCCCAGTGCTCTGTTTCCTCAAAAGAGGTTTCTTTGGTGACCGATGACGTATACTTGAAACCATCTAGAAAGTGGCGCCACGTCGATTTTCCGCGTTCACGCACCAAAGTATGATCGGTGCGCGAGTTCCATATCGCATGCAGACCCATCAGAGAGAGAAGTTCGTAACACCTGCTTTGTTGCGGATCAGGAGTGACAAGAAACTTCATGCTGTGCCATGTTGGGTACAGCTTAATCTTTAACGTTGCGCGTAGCTGCGCCCAAAAGAGTTCGGCATTAGAACAATACAAAAACGTGTGTTGCAACGTCTCCGGGACAGCACAGTTCACGCCCCAGGGCAAATAAAAACCCTTTTGTTCCTCCCATGTTTTAACCGCCAGGACTTCCGTGTGGAAGTGCACAAAAAAGTCCCTTGTGCCTGGGCGAACAGGGTAAACACTTAACCTTTTAAACAAGTCCGATCTTTCGGCGTCGGGGAACATTTGGCGATACATTGGAGGCGGCATTACGAGGTCTAGAGTATCCCAATAAAGACGTCTCCTCTTTACTTTGTTTAGATATTCCCATGAGAAGCGTTCTTCGAAAAACCTGATCGCATCTCTGATCTCTTTGTAGTAGCGAAGCGTCGAGCACTTCTTTGGAGCGCCATCTGTTTCTTTCATCCAGGGGGCAAGGTAGTGTCCACCAAGCTGTCGGAACGCCGCCACCAGCGCGGGAGTTTTGTCTCGGTTTCGGAAAACAAGAAACCGCTGCACTTTTAGTTTTATTTCTAAGTTTACTAATCCGAGTCCTCCTTTTTGCCTACTTATGAAAAGGTTGCTCCGGCGCATTCTTTCGAAACCAGAACCCCAGACAAACGTTGCACAGAATCTATGCACTTTCTGTACATCGAGCTGCCTACACGGCACCGCTTGCGTTGAATACCAAACGGTTGAAAAAAACACTGCATTGCTGACATGCGCTCTATTCAAAAGTGGTACGTACCTCCCCCACCATTCTGGAAGCTTCGCCCTCAACGTGTTCAAATGTATGCCATCTACGCCTGTCCTGAGCTGCGTGCTGCCCAATCCGACCCCTAAGTAGTTGGAGATGTGTGTTGACCACGCTATACCCAAGAATAGTTCTGGCTTGGATGGCCATGGTCCCAGCCAGGTCCCGACCGATTTTGTTGGGTTCATTTTCGCTCCTGAAACGTCACAAAACTGACTGACATGTTCTACTGCCTTCCTCACCTCCTCTTGCGATTGCCCAATCAGTGTCACATCATCAGCGTATGCCAACAGTTTAACTGACATTGTGCCCAGGCAAGCTCCCCTTATGCTGTGGTCATTTAAGATTGCTTTGCACAGAGGTTCAAGGTAAATGGCGAATAAAATAGGCGACATTGGGCAACCTTGCCGTACGGACGACTTAACGGGGATGCTACACGACCTGCGCCCGTTGACCAAGAGTCTTGTACTTATGTCCCGATAGCATATTTTAAGAAAATTCACTAAAAACTCTCCCGTTCTGCATTGCTCTAGTAAGGAGAATAAAAAAGTATGATTCACTCTGTCGAATGCTTTTTTTAAGTCTATTTGTAGGACAGTCGTGGGACGTTCCATGGCTTCCGCCGTTTCTGTTATAACTCTCATTGTGTGCAAGTTTGCGAATATTGACCTGTTCTTGAAGCCATACGTTTGAGAATTTCCAACCAGGGTTTGGTAAGCTGTTTCCAGGCGTTTTGCTAAAATTTTTGCCAGGGTCTTATAATCTGTTGTTAACAGGCTTATCGGCCTAAAGTCTTCACTACTTGCAATGGAGCCCCTACACTTCCGTTTTGGAATTAGTACCGTCACTGCCTGTCTCATGGAAGGCGGGAGGAGCTTTCTTTTATGCACGTCTCCGTAAACTTGCGTTAAAATGGGGACTAGTTCTTCTGAAAAGATTTTGTAAAAAGCTGCGCCCAGACCGTCTACACCCGGCGATTTGTTCGGTGTTAGCTCCTTGATGGCACTTCGTACTTTTGACTCGCTGATAGGCCTGTTCAGGAATTCAGTTGTTGCCTCTGGTACCTGTGGCATGATATCCAGCACTCGTTTTATTGCTTGCCTGTTGAGGTTCCTCTGTTTACCAAAAATGCTGCTGAAAAAGGTGACCAGCTCTCGTTTTATTTTTGCGGGGTCGGAGATGATGTTCTCTTTACTTTGAAGCTGATTAATTTGGTTGCGGCTGGCGCGTTCGCGCTCACGCGTTTTAAAGATTTTCGTAGGGTCTTCAGAACGCCCTAGCGTCCGTAATCGTGATCTGACCATTGCTCCGCGATACTCCTCCTCTAGTATTCCGAGCAGTTGGGATTTACATTCTCGAATATCAGCTGTAAACACACCGGGCGTCCTATTTTCTTCTCGAATTAGAGTTTGCAGCGCCTTCGTCACGTCCCTCTTAACGGCCTTCCTTTCCCGAGACTTTTCTTGGCAAAAGGCTATAATGCACATTTTTATCTCTTCTTTTAGCAGCTCCCAGTGTACGGCAGTTGTGTTGTTTCCTTCCCCTTTATCTATGATAAGTTTTCTAACTGCGCGCTGCGGCACCTCCTCCTCGAGAGCATTTTCGTTTAGCTTCCAACTTTTCCAACATGAGTCGCGATTTGGCTTTTCTTTTACCATTCTTATCTGCGCCGCAACTATGGCATGATCGGAGAAAGCTAACGGCTTAACCTGATAGCTGGCCGTATCTACTGCTAAGATACTCGAAGCATATATTCGGTCCAGGCGCGAGTGACAATCGCCTTGCCAATGTGTGTAGCCGGGAGCAGGTGCTTCTACAAATTCCGTTACGTCTTGTAAATCAAAGTCTCGGATTAGCTTCTTTAGTTCCGTCAGACTCGAATCCTGTCGAAGTCCCTTCGAGGAGTCGTTTGCTCGAGTGACGCAGTTGAAGTCTCCTCCGAGTATAGTCTGCGCCGGGGTGTTCATGTATTGTCTGATCTGATTGAAAAATTGTTTTCTTTCTACTGCGAGATTCGGCGCATGCACAGAAATTAATCGTAATGTTTCATTATTGTAAACCCCCATCAACCGCGCAAATTCTCCCACTTTGATCTGTCTCCCATTCCGGAAAGAGCACAATCCCGCTTCGCTTGCGAATTAGTATCGCCGTGCCTGCACTGTGCGAAATTGCATGGGCATAACGAAATTCAAAGTGGTTTTCGAAGATTAGAACAGCCTGCTTTACATGTTCGGTGGTTAACTTAGTTTCTTGTAGCAAGGCCACCTGAACTCTTTCCGCTAAAAGCGTGTTGAGTAGCCATTGCTTCCTTTTTTGGGCTATCAAGCTAACGCAATTAAGCGTAATTATTTTTAAATTGAATTTTGCAAGTTTTTTGTGCCTCCTTGGCCGCTCTTCTAACGTGTGGCATTACACCCAACCAACCACCACGCCCCTAAAACATGCAGCAGAGGGCAAGTAAAGCGAACCTATACAGAGTCTTTCTGCCGGCGGGCGTCCGGCATAATCCGAGGCTTGGGGTTGTATCGAAAACGTCTCTGGCTTGGCTGCTTCATCTTGAGGCGCTGTTCGTGCAGCCCTTGGCCTTCCTCCTCTGTGCTGGCCCAATCCTTTTTTTCCGATGGCTCCAAGTTGGCATGGTCCTTATCGTCCGATGTAGCTTGCATCTCCACCTCGGTGCCCACGTAGTCGCCGTTGGGCTCACCCACCTGACGTGGTGACGCAGCCTTGACGGAAGCGCCGACTTCCGTGCTGCCGCCGTTTACGTCTGCTTTTGAGGTAGCCGATAACAGTGGGTAGTCTTGGAGCGTGGGGGGCGTGGCAGGCGCGGTATCTTTATTGGCAGCCCTGTTGAAGGCGCTTGGCTCGGTGAAGTTACCCCTGGCCGTCGGTGTGCCGCCAGCGGTAATTTCCACTTCTTCCTCGTCCATAAGATGCTCGGACTCGTCGATGCCGCCCGTTCCGTCTGCGACCGTTGCATAGGTCCTGACGCAGTCGTCCTTTTCATGGCCAAAGCGTCGACACAGGTCGCATCGTGGCGTCTTACACTCACGTCGGACGTGTCCAGTCCTTCGACATCGCAGACACATTGGGGCGCGCCCGGGCGCAACGACGAGCACCGAGCCATGTGGAAGACGCAGCTGGTGTGGGAGCCTACCCGAAGTAACACCTTCTTTGAGCTTGAGGCCCACCACTCTGGTAGTTGATTCAACTCCCTGAAACCCCACTTCCTGCCAGCCTTCTCGAGTGACGCCCTCGACCCTGCCATATTGCTCGAGAGCTCTCCGGATGGTGTCGTCCGGGACGTCGCACGGCACCCAGTGCAGTTTTAACCGCACCTCGGCCTTGTTAGGGTCTAGCACCAGACAGCGCTTACCCTTGACTCGTAGTTCTTGTGCGTCTTGCATCTTCTGCTTTGAAGCCAGCGAGTGGAAGGTAGCAATCCAGACGTGGTTTATTTGGTAAGAGCCGAACGCCTTGAGGTCTTGAAGGACTCCGATGCTCTGGATCCCTGACTTGAAGTCACCAATCTTGTGTGGCCTTCCCGAGACATCACACTGCAAAAAAACAGTGGTGCGCACGATGGTACCTGTTGGCAGGGGTGGCAGAATAATACGGTAGTGCTGGGGAATATCAGACGTAGCGAAACCACGGCCCGATAGGGCCGTTGTCACAGCTCCGCTGGAGCCAGCCATCCGTGCGTCCGAGCGCGGCGAGCACCGGAAGCCGAATGGCCACGAGAGCGCTGCCAGCTTGGCCACCTGCGCGCGCGGCAATATATATTCGACATGCTGACTAGTTGGATCGTTATTTAGATGACTGCAGAATTTGGCATCGTTTAGTTATCTAGAGCCTTTCATGTAATCCGCGATGTTTACTATAAATATGGCGCCCCCTTCTGAGCTGGTTTGAATAATATATCCCTTCTGCATACCAAGATCCTTGAGAATTTTGAGTTTGGTAAGCGAGAGCTTATAGCGGTGCTGTTGCTGTTTTCTATAAGCTGACACAATGCCTTTCGTGACCACCTGAATATAAAGGTGTAGTGCTTATCTCTTTTGGGACCGGGAGGCCAGCAGGACGATGTCGAAGGCAGCGGAGATGCGCTTTTGGTAGGGCTTTTCAAAGAAGAATTACTGAAGCCGAAGGCTGTGTGCGAAATTATTGAGATCCTTGAGGAGTGTGAAAACTTCGTACTGGCCTCTGGTGTGGCAGACGTTAAGGCCTTTTGAGAGGAGCGGCTCTTCGTCCTAAGTTTGCTCAACAATAGATAAATTTACTATGTTGCTACGACCAATAGCGTTATTCTGCCTCTCCAGTCCACTCACCGTCTTCGGGAAATATTTAACATTACCTCTAGCTAGTTTACTATTCTTCACTCCCTGATGATCCCCCGTTTCTTTACTTCTAATTATTTCAATGCTGCGGTTTAATGCAGTGACCATTCGTTAGCGCAAAGCAAATTACTTTAAACCCTTTGAACATTCGTCGAAGTGGTCTGACAGTGATTTTTAAC